CGTTTGTTGATGTGATCATTATGACACCTGATTTGTCATCTCCCATAGCAAGCTCTCATCAATTTTTTTTTGAAATTTCTTCCCATAATGAAACTCTAAATTCTCCCTGAAAATAACATCATGTAAGATAACCAATCGTACCACATTATTATGATATTCAGAAAGAACTACTGTTCAATCTGCAAAATGATATCTCGTTTATAACGGTTTGTTGATACGATTTTTCGATCTCACCTACTCCATTCAAAAACCTATAACATCTAAACCATTTACTGTATTTAGAATTATAGTAATATATGATGTACAACATGATAGTAATAAAGGTTTACCTAATAACAAAGATGTGTCATTTTTTCTATTTTGCATATCATTGATACCAGGAAATTGAAATTTAAACTCTGGAATAGCAACTGTTACTTCCTTGATCTCCTTGATGGAAATATTCATTAGAATTGTAAACAATAAGCACCTTCACAGGCTTTAAGTAGCAGCACATGGTATAAACTGCACATTTTTAATCAGATATATATGGCCTTCACGAATTGGTTCTTAAATTTTACAACTCTATTTTTTGGTATGTCCCATGCATCACTCATGCTGTAAATAATTACAAATAAAAAAGGTTAACGAACTTACACATTTCAATGTTGGTAAAATTATATAATTTAACAAAAATATATAATACCTCTTCATCAATAAGAATCATATCAAGACTAATCAGCTCGTTGTCCCTTCTGAAATTAAAACATTCCCACAATCTAGAAACCCTGCAATCAATATCCAATCATCTCGCAATTGATTAATATCTTTAAACAAATATTCGAAATTGTCATAACTATCCTGCAAAGATATTATCCAAACGTGTGATATTTCAAATTGTATTTTGTTATGTTTATATAGGAACAAAAATGTGAAAAGGCAGAATAGCAAGAGACTGTTTCTCGTAAGTAGTTACTTTATTGAACATATTTAGTGCATAGTTTTCACTAAATTGATGTGATAACTAAGTTGATGAATAATATCATGTTCATATTAATGCATGTACATATGTAGAATATCAATAGTTAAGAGATTGTGATAAATAGTTAGATTTAGTGATATATTTTAAATATTAGGAACACAAAATGCGAAAAGGCAGAATAGCAAGACACTGTTTCTCGTTAATAGTTACATTTATTGAACATATTTAGTGCATAGTTTCCACTAAATTGTTGTGATAACTGAAGGGTTGATGAATATTATCATGTTTAGATTAAATGTACAAATGTAGAATATCAATAGTTAAGAGATTGTGATAAATAGTTACATTTAGTGAATATCTTTAAAATATTATTTTGAGAAATTATTACTAGTAATTGAAACCATGACTATTATAGCAAGCCCAATAAACAACAAACACGTGGACCAATTAACAACATCCTACATGACGATCATTTATCAATCCTACGTGGCGTCAGAAGAAGCAATCTGCTTCAACATTATATTAATATATAGATATTAAACTGTATTTAATCATGCTTACATATGATATGGGTACCACGACACAATTTTTTTTTGCACCCAGCAGCCGTTGTGGAACTCCTGATGGGCTGAAGTCTTTGATTGATAAAGCTCATGAATTAGGCCTGCTTGTTCTCATGGATATTGTTCATAGGTAATAATTAAATTCAAAGAAAAAAAAATATGGCCTTTTTCACTTAGAATTGCGATATAATTATCTAGAAACAGATGGATATACAAAAAATTTAAGAAAAATGTGTTTGGTTAAAATGTTCTAACAAACAATTTCTGAATATATATATAAAAACATATTTTTTTGTAAAATCTAAAAACAAAAATAAAAAATATTATCTTTGCTTTCCATAATTTTTTAATGTATATGTGAAACAAACTTTTGGATATAAAAGTATAACTCAAATTGTTGGATTGTATCTAAATTTTTTTTAACTTAATCTTCAGATCATGATTGAGACCATCCTTTGTTATGAGAACCATAAGTTACCTTATTACACTAATTCATTTTTTGTATTGCTGTTTGTTCTTGGAATTGAACTCATGCAATATATGTGGTGCTTGTCTGTTATTCTTGTAAGTTTTATTTCTTTGTTTAGTAGTGCAACAGATGCTTAAGTGCCATGAATCTTTGGTCTTGGTTGGTCGCAAATGTTTGTAGACCTTGGATGGACTACAAACTGGAATAGTATTTAAAATGCCACTTATCATTTATTGACATTGGTGACTTTATAGTTCTTGAGGATAGGACTCATGAATTTATATTCATTGTCATGCATGTAAGTTAATTCCCTCATTAAAATGGATTTCCAATAAACAAAACATAGGCAAGGTAAGACTTTATTAAGATAAATTCTAGAAGTGTTGAAATGGCTTATAAGATCAATGAAAGTTGTCTCGTTTTTGTTTCAATATAAGGTCAAAACAAAATCCATATGTTATGCTTGAAAAGGTAGGCTGATGTGGAGCCTCGTCAGTAAAGAATGGTCAGAGTTCAGAAGGGTTCTGCGCTGTCCAGGTGCGGCCACGTCGCGCCTAGCACAAGTGGCATGGTCTTGTCAGTGTAGTTGGTGGGTGCTAGGCCAACAAACGGCTGGCGATCACCCACGTGTCAAAGCCCTGCTTTAATTGAGGAAATCCCTCGGGCAGGTGATCAATGGGATGCAAAGAAAGGATTTGCACGACACCTACCCACTTACAGCTTTCATAATAATTACCTTGAATTTCTCCACTATAAATAGAGGAATTCCCTCTCATTTGGGGGATGAGCTAACATTATGTTAAAAATAGCTCTCTCTCTCTCTCTCTCTCTCCCTACTGTATTCTCACCCTACACTGTAACTCAGCTCGCTGAATGTGACATGATCTCTTTCTTATTAATACAATAGCAGTGGATGTAGGATTCGCCTTTTAGCATCCAAACCACTTTAAATATTGCTCTTCACCTTTTATTTGATTCAATTCTCTCACATCACGTGTGACTTCTAAGTCTTCTTAGCATTTTACACGTGCGAGTAGTTGGTGTCAAAATCAAGCATCAACAGTTTGGTGCTAGAAGGAGGGCCTGATTTAGTATCTACTCTTCATCAGAGAAATCTCTGACTAATTGGTCCCACGACAGCAAATGGCTCGTAGTTTCAAATTTGAGCGAACTAACCATGGCAATGAAGAAATCCCCTAGGTATAGGAGGACACTTCTCCCGAAGTGCCACCAGTCTAGCAAAACATCATGGGTTACCTGGAGAGGTTCAATAATACTTTTCAAACGGTCAACCGGAGGCTAGACCGATTGGATCGGGTCATGCCACCCGAATCCAATGAGGCGGTGCCATCGCCAAAAAAGCCTGCAGGTAGCGTGAAAGCGCAGAAAAGGGTGAAAGCCCATATCACGCGCACTGCAGACCTAAGGGCTCCGAGGGACTAGCGAATGCTGATCACGCCATGGGTAGATTACCTGTGGCATTACAACTCAATGATGTCGTAGCGTGAGCCGTCCCACGCCACGTCGCACGGGCACTCCCACAAAGGTGTAAGGTGGGGAGATTCCCACTATCGCCAGAATGACGACTTCGATCGTCGTCGTGCAGGGGAACCCCATCATCTGCGGGTCGGTTCGTACCACCGTGGAGGTCGGGAAGACTCCCCGAATCGCTTGATGCAATCACATGGCTCTAGCTAGCGTGTGCCGAGATTGGCCGGAGCTTTCGATCGAGGTGAGGAAGAGTCCGATTTGCGGTCTTTCCTTAACCGCAACCGTGAGGGTCGAACCCACGTTGCTAAAAGTGATCCCCAGATAACTCTGGTGCCTCAGATTGATGAACTACAACGAGCTCTGGATCAGCTTAAGGCTCAATAGAATGAGCAAGGGCAGGTCGTAGAGCTGTCTCCCTTTTCTCCGATAGTGTTAGCTGCCCCTCTCTTATCGAGATTCAGAATGCCTGACATGCGAGCATTTGATGGGAATTCCGATCCGCAGGATCATTTATACGAGTTCAACGACCTTATGGAACTCCACTAAGTCTCTGACTTGGCAAAATGTCGTTGCTTAGCAATAATCCTTACCGCCTATACCAAGTGCTGGTTCAGGTTACTTCCAGTAGGATCGGTCAGCTCATGGCCTCAAATGAGCTCGATGTTTCTGAGACACTTTTAGACGAACAAGAAGTTCTCAATGCCGCTAAGCTACCTGAGCAATATACAACAGAAGAGGGGTAAACCCTTCCAATCTTATATAGACAGGTTCCACAAAGAGCTCCATAAAATGGCTCATACTTCTGAAGAGTTTGTTCAGACTCTCATCATTGCGGGAGTTCGCCCGCATACAGACTTATGGAAGGAACTACAATATGAGGATGATGTTTCCCTCACTCGCCTCTACAACCTTATTGAAAAGTACCTCAGTATTGAAAATTCCGTGGCCGCTCTCAATCGCCACGACCTCGGTCCTTCGGGCAGTGCTCCCAACCGGGGGGGAGAATAGGAGGGCTAATCGCAAATGGGCTAATGATGATCAGCGAAAAGAAAAGAAGCAGCAGTACGAGCCCAATGATTCTTATGCCCTAGTTCCTCGTCATGATTGCGACAATTGTCAATACACTCCTCTAAATGCCTCGATATTGGCTATTCTAGATAAATTAGAGGCCAGTTTGCTCGGAGAGCTTGAGCCTATGAAGAATCCCCCCTCAGCCAAAAATAATAAAAAGTACTACCGTTATCATCGGGATAATGGGCACCACACCGATGAGTGTCGGGCCCTCAAGCAGACAACTGAGGACCTTATTAAGCAGGGGCACTTCAAAGAATATGTCGATGATTCAGCTCCCATTCGAGAGAAAAATTAGGAGGAATCGGGAAAGCAACGTTGTGGTTGCAAAGGTCTCTACTATGTAGGGATCATCTTTGGAGGACCACACCTCGCAGGGAACTCTCGAGGTGCCTAGAAAAGGTACGCTCGAGAAGTCTGTCATGACCCCATAAGTGTCATGAGCATGACGTTGCGACCTGCCAAGGTTCGCAGAGAGGAGGAAATCACCTTCTCCGAGAAAGACGCGGTGCGATTGCATTATCCCCATGATGATGCTCTCATCATCACGCCTAAAATAGATTGGTGCGAAGTCCACAGAATGGTGGTGGACAATGGAAGCGCTGTGAATATCTTATTTCAGCAAGCCTTCGAGAAGGTGAAACTAGACGAGGCAGATTTGAAGCCTGCCTCTATCCCTCTGTACGGTTTCACCGGAGATCATTTGATCCCCAAGGGGACGATCTCGCTCTCGGTCACATTGGGAGAAACCAACGAGATGACCAAGATGATCGAGTTTTTAGTGGTAGACTATCCGTCTGCTTTCAATGGCATATTGGGGCAACCTCTACTACGAAACTTCAAGGCAGTTACCTCGATATACTATCTGAAGATGAAGTTCTCCACCTCGACGGGGATAGGGGAAGAAAGTGGATCTCAACACGTATCTCGCGACTGCTATGAAAGGGCAGTGTAGATGGTGTGCAAGGGAAGAGGAGTGCCGGTTGGCATCCCTGAGCAGGCAATGACGATTAGCAGGATCGAGCCACAGCCTAGCCCGGTTAAGGATGACATGGATCCTTGCATCTAGGAATGCCCTCATAATGGGCCGGTTAAGGACCTATCCGAGATATCGGTCGATCAAAGTGAGCCGACCTAAGTGTTGAGAATCAGGAGTAATCTTAACCCTCAGCTCGCCAACGACCTGACAAGCTTCCTCAGGGCAAATGTTGACGTATTCGTATGGACTCATGCTGACATGGTCGGGATCTGTCTGAATGTTGCATGCCATGCCTTGAATATTGATAGTGCGGTCAGGCCGATTCGCCAAAAGAGAAGAGCAATGAACCTCGAGCGGTATGCCACCTTAAAGGTTAAAGGTTAAGACAGATAACCTCCTCTTGAACGAGTTCATCTAGGAGGCACTTTACTCTAGCTGGGTTGCTAACTCAGTCTTGGTAAAAAAGTCCAACGATAAATGGCGGACTTGCGTTGACTTTACTGACCTCAACAAAGCCTGCCCAAAGGACAGCTTTCCCTTGTCGAGAATTGACCAGCTTGTCGATGCCACCTTCGGGCACGAGCTGTTGAGTTTTATGGATGCCTACTCGGGATACAATCAGATTCCAATGTACGTGTCGGACGAAGAGCATACCTCATTTGTTACAGATCGGGGGTTGTATTGCTATAAGGTTATGCCCTTCGGCCTGAAAAACATTGGGGCAACTTACCAGCAGCTGGTTAACCGGATGTTTTTCGAGCAGATCAAAAAATCGATGGAAGTCTATGTTGATAACGTCCTGGTCAAGTCGCATGTCACTTCAGATCACATAGCACATCTCGCTGAGATGTTTGATATACTCTGAAGGTACAGAATGAAGCTCAAAGCTCTCAAGTGTTCGTTTGGGGTATCCACGGGAAAATTCTTGGGGTATATGGTTAACCAGAGGGGAATAGAAATCAATCCCGAAAAGATCCAAGCTCTCCTTGATATGAGTAGCCCAACAAACCGAAAACAGGTCTAGAGTCTTAATGAGCGAATAATGGCTCTTAGTCGATTCATATCAAAAGCAACATATCGCTGCTTGCCATTTTTTAATATATTCAAGGCTAACAAGAAGTTCGAGTGGACTCCGGACTGCGAATAGGCTTTCTAGAGCATTAAAGAGCACCTTTGAAAGCCACCTCTTCTGTCCAAGCTGCTCCCTCAAGAAATTCTTCTCTTGTATCTATCCGTCTCCTAGCATGCGGTCAGTGCAACTTTGATTCGGGAAGAAAACAAAGTCCAATGGCCGGTATATTACGCAAGCAGGCGTCTGTTGGACGTCGAAATGCGATATCTAGAAATAGAGTGATTAGCTTACGCCCTGCTGATCGCCTCTAGGAAGTTGCGACCTTATTTCTATGCTCACACTATCCATGTATTGACCAACTACCCGCTCAGGCAAGTCCTTCAGAAGCCAGAAGCTTCAGGTAAGTTGCTCAAGTGGGCGATGGAATTAAGTCAGTTCGATTTGCAGTACAGACCAAAAGCAACCATTAAAGGGTAGGCTGTTGCCGATTTCATTTCGAAGTTTGCATGCCAACTGACTCAGGAATCTGAGCAACAGTCCAGCGAAGTCACCTAGGAAACTATTCAGAATCTATCGACTTGAAGCCTTTATGTTGATGGATCCTCGAACAGGAAAAGGGCCCGGACAGGCCTTCTCCTCCTTAGTCCCGAAGGGACTCGCATCCATGGTATTCTTCGATTTGAGTTTAAAGCTACCAACAATGAGGTCGAGTATGAAACACTGCTCGCTGGTCTGCGGTTGGCAAAAGAAATGGGGTCAACCATGATCAGTATTCATAGCGACTCCATGCTGGTTGTTAATTAGATTTTGGGAGAGTATCAAGCCAAGGAAGAAAACATGATCAGTTATCTGAAGAAAGCTAAGGCCGACTTGAGTCTTTCAAGTATTTCACGATCACGTAGATTCCTAGAGATAGTAATTCTGTCGCGGATGCCTTGGCAAGAATAGCCTCGTCGTTAGACTCAGATGCCCTAGAAAGTAATCCTGTTCAGCACATAGAGATCTCTAGTATCAGCTCGCCTAAACAGGCCGTGGTTACAACAGAATCAGTTTCCTGGATGACCCCAGTTATTCAGTATCTCCGACAGAATCAAATTCCTAGAGATAGTAATTTTGTCGCGGATGCCTTAGCAAGAATAGCGTCGTTGTTAGACTTAGATGCCTTAGAAAGTAATCCTGTTCGGCACATAGAGATCCCTAGTATCAGCTCGCCTGAACAGACCGTGGTTACGACATAATCAGTTTCCTGGATGACCCCAGTTATTTAGTATCTCCGAGATGGGACCTTGCCTAATGACAAGATTGAGGCAAGAACCCTGCGGACTAGAGCTGCTCGTTACACACTCATAGAAGATAAGTTGTACAGGTGAGTATTTAGCGCCCGTCTTCTTCGATGTGTGACCGATGAGGAAGCTGACTATATCATGAGGGAGATGCATGAAGGGATCTGTGGTAATCACACTACCATGCGATCCCTCGCTAACAAAGTTGTCTATCAGGGATACTACTGGCCCCTACTTCAAGAGGATACCTTCAACTTTGTAAAAAAGTGTGACAAGTGCCAATGGTTCGCGAGCATACCGCGAGCTTCTTCCCACTAGTTGATAACTATGACCAGCCCCTGGCCATTCTCCATGTGGGGAATTGATCTTATTGGACCCATATCAGGTGGAAGGGGAAGGGTCAAGTATGCGGTGGTCGCGGTGGATTATTTCACCAAGTGGGTCGAAGCTAAACCCTTAGCCGCGATCGCTGCCAAGAAGCTTAAAGACTTCGTTTTCAGAAATATAGTGTGCCACTACGGAATTCCTCATACACTCATCTCTGATAATGGGAAGCAGTTTGACAACGAAGAATTCAAGCAGTTTTGCGATGAGCTAGGGATCTATAAAAAGTTCACCTCAGTCGCAAGATCGCAAGCCAATGGCCAGGTCGAAGTTGTCAACAAGACCATCAAGCACACTTTGAAAGCTAAGCTCGGCGTTGCCAAGGGAAATTGGGTTGACGACCTCCCGGAATGTTAGTGTATATTAGTGTATGCCCTAGAAACCATTCGTGTTGTCGGTTTCAGAGCATTTTGTCTTGTATCTATATATCATAAATAATAGAAGAAAGAGTTCTTCAATTCATATATATAAATTGCTTCCAATGCATTTAAAATAAAGTACGTATATGAATTGTCCAGATGATTCATTTAATTGGTAAATGAATTATCGAAAAGAGTTCCCTACGGAAGCAATATAATTTGGGTAACTATTGCATAGTAGGCATATTGGATGCTTCCGAAAGATATCATGAGTTAATATAAGTACGGATGACGATGACAGTTATGTGATAATCATATTTTACACTATGATTTTGCATTGAATTTTGATAGGATTTAGGATACTTTTCATACAATTTGGGCTATAATTGCTACCTAATTCTATTAATTTGTCTTTGCAGTCCTAAATGGTGATTTTTAGCACAAATGACAGTTTTGAGCATAAATTGTGTAACTTGAGCTTGGAAACTCGAAATGACCTGAATTTAGAAGCTTTGGAAAGCTAAGAACAAGAGCTACAGCTTTCATGTTTTGGGTTTTTCCTAATTCTGACTGGACAAGGGTGAAAACTTGGCTTGAAGTTGTAAAAAGTACGCTGGGAACTGAAGAAAAACGTCTTTGGACATGCTTCAGTATTTCTACAATAACTTAAGCTGTAGACCTCGGATTGTGCGGATTCTTGAACGACCGGAAAGATAATTGAAAGGGCTACAATTCATATGTTTGACAACGTTTTCATATTCAGACTCTATCATGCTCATATTTGGCCCGACATTCTTCGCTGCGGCGAAGACAAAGCTTCACCGCGGCGACCTGCGTCAGATTTAAAAATAAAACAACGCGTTTTGGCTTGCTAGGGCTGGATCCTTAAGTGAGAGAGGTATAAATTAGAGCAAAAAAGGAAGAGAAAGGAGTCTTGGTTCGTCATTTGGGAGGCAGCTCATGGAAGGAGAAGATTATTGAAGATTTGAGCTTCAAATTAGAGAAGATTTCTCCATCTTTTGCTTGTTTTTCAATGATGAATCTTGATTCAGTTTGTTTCTGTTATTTTATTTCGTTTTTGACTATGAACTGAGTTGTTTAGCTAGGGTTTGATGTAATCTTGATACAATGATTCAAATTTATATGAATTGATTTACTTTGAGTTTTAATTTCATGATTGAGTGTTTATCTCTTTGCTTAATGATTTTTGGATGCTTGATCACCATTCAAATGTGTGTTGTTCACAATGAGACTGAGAAGTGATTTGTGATTGTGCCTCTTGGGATAAATACCATAGATAAAGCAAACGCTAGAGATAGGTTTAGCGATCTACGAAATCTAGATAGAATTCCATAAAGCTTAAACACTTTGAACTATTAATCTTCATTTTGTTGGGTGCGGAAGGTTAATAGGGATAAGTAGGGAAATGTAGCCTGAGAAGGTATGTTTTACAACTTAGGGAATTCGATTTTCAATCAAGGAATTAGAACTCGGGTAATAGATTCTATGATTTGGGTTAGCGTATCTAGGTGAAATCAACACCCTAGCATTTTTTTTTTAGCATTGTTTAATTAGTTAAGTTGTTGGGTTTTGCTTTAATTTCATATTCATTCATTTATATTTTTGTTAATTTGTATTTAGTTGTTAATTTTCCATCAATCCAATTTATTGTTTCTTCAATTAGGACTTAAACTAGGGAAATCAGTACTTAGTAACACTATCTTCGTGGGAACGATACTCTACTCATCATTATATTACTTGTGCGATTAGTATACTTGCTACATATTGCATGTTGTAGGAAACACGCATCATTATGTCACTGGGGCATTGGTATGGATTAGCGGTTGGTGAACTGTTTTTCGAATGTGACCGAATAAC